CAAGAAGATCATGGCGGTTATTATTGGTAGTTACAGTTACCATTATCTATTTTTAAACCCGAAACAATTCCAAATGGCAAATGCTTATACATATATAGTTATTATCTTTGAATTCTATCCTAAGCCATCTTACTACTTTCCAAAGCGGTAATCAATTCATGTATTTTGGTTATACATAAGTTGTTGACGGAAAGTTCATTGTTAATGTCCGTGGACGTTTATGCATATGAAGGTGGATAGTTTTTATGCGTGAGAATATGTATTTTTTTGAATTCTGGAAAGCCAAATGACGGGTTTAATGCTTTTGCTTAATAAAAATGAGGGGTTTGCCTAATTTGATACTAGTAATGAACTAATTATACGTTAGATTTGTTTTCTAAAAATGACTTAGTCACATCACACGCAGTTTTGTTTGCAAAAAAAAAATATATTTTTTGATTAACCTGAATATCCAACCCGCTATGCGAGCCGACTAATCACAGGGCAACCACTTGCTTTGCAGATAGCCCGGAGTCACCGCATTTGAACCTCCGTTGCCATAAGAGAATTTTTATTCCTCCTTGAATTTGAACCTGGGACCTCTAGGTACTTTTGATCTTTGGAGCCAAACTCAAACCAATCAGACACCACCCTTGTGGTTAGCAAAAATATTTATTGTTTATGTAAAAAAAATAAAAAAAATATATAATTTAAGGTTTAAATTGTGGAGTTAATAAACTACGTTATAAACTTTTGAAATAAACAAAACAAATAACTAAAATGATAAACAAGACAAACGATTTTGGTGAGACAAAAAACCCTGTTGAGGGTAAAAGCCGTGGACGATCGTGGATATTGTCGATGCACTATGGACGTCGTCCTTAACAACACTGATTACAATCATGGAATGCGATTAAGCACGACACGTCGTGCACAAACTAGTAATAAGGATTTTAGCAGCAATGAATTCTATGAGACTGCTTCTGAGTGGATTCAATAGCGCTCGTGTGTCTCTTTGAATGCTTTGAATCTTCTTATACTTGTAGTTTTTGTCGGGGCTGTCTTCAATTGAAGTAACTCCAATAACAGTCATGTCTTGAATGCTATTTGTTGGTTATGTTCGCGGTATTAATGTATCTTGATCATAAATCTTTAGTTACACACGAGACTTGTCATAAATGAAAGAAGAATAACGGTTGTCGAAGACAATTAAGCCTAAGTATTAATAGTTGATAAATAACTACGATCTTTACTATGCTACTGTTGAAGATAATATATTCGACAGTCGTGCTTACAAATTTTCGGCCAAACATTTACCTAGAAGACAAGAATCAAGAATCTTATCTGGTAAGAACGAAGACAATGATTAAGAGTCTTACCAAGTAAGTGAGAACGACTGCTCTTACCATGGTTGGCAGTGGCGGATCCAGAAAATTTTATTATTGGGGGCAAAACTTAGGGAGTTGGGGACTTGGGGTGTCAAAAAAATTCTGAAACTGAATAACTCATCCGAGCCAAGACGATTTTGGGTTATTCGGTTGTCGGCTTAAATTGTTCAGTTTAATCAAATAAATATAACTTTTTCCGTTTTTTGATTAATTTTTACTATTTTGGATAAACATAGAAATTGTACATATATTTTTATTTCGGTTCAACTTAAAGCAAATAAAACACAGTACATATTAATAGTCAATAGCAAGAAATTAGAGGATAAGAAATTAAATTAAATTAGAAGAAATTAGAGAGCAAAAGACCAATATGCTATAAATAAAAGATAAACTAGTAGTAAACCCTATATCAAAATAACAAACTCAAATTAAAGAACAAACTCAAGAATCCTAAATCAAATATCAAGAAATAGAAAATTAATAATCAACAAATAACAATAATTATAAATCTATAAAAAATAAAATGCAAAAAGAAAGTTGAAAAAAAAAACAAAAAAAATAGTGACGGATCAAATTATTAAAATTATAGCAAATAAAACAAGACAAATAAATTGACTTTCAATGAGTTAAGACTTAGAAACCAGGGACATTAGAGTTTAACTGATTTTTAAATTGATAACTCCCTGAAATGAAATAAAATAAAAGTTGTAAATGAAATGGTAGGGATTAGATTTGGGGATTTGCCTTTTAATTATTGGGGGCTATTTGTAATTTTAGATTAAAAAATATATTTAAAACTATAAATAATGTTGTTTCTTGTGGGTTTCTTATTTGTTTGTTGGGGACTGTGCCTCCTATGGCTTTACCATGATGGTTGGTGCTTATCGGATGAATTGTTGTATATAATATCATTTTATTGGACCAAAATCTTACCCGGTAAGTAAGTGATAGTATTGAATTTTTCCGGTAAACACTTACCCAGATAAAGGTTTGGAAAACAGCCACTAAGTCTCGGCTTTTAAGTTTTCTTTGATCTTGTTGTGATAAATTTTTATATTCTAGTAAGTTTTATGATCTTGTAATTTTTGTACTTTTCCAACTTCCATATTTATCAATATTGTTTGTATCCTTGTGGTTTTTTGACTCGAACTTCTCCTACTTTTGAATTTTTCGTATTCTTGTAATTTTTGTTACTTTTATAAATGCAAAGTGCTAGCAAGGTTGCTTCTTTTCCCATGCCATCAACCGCGTCTCACGATTACGCTATAGTTGCCAACCACAACCATAAAACATTTGTTTAGATAATTTTGATATCGTCTTTATTTTATTTTTTTTGGGGGGGGGGGGGGATTAAAAAGCCATATGCAAGAGATATGAACATCTGTTAATGACATCAAACAATTTCATGGTAAATTCAGGTTCCAATGCGACAAAACAAAGACAGGAGTAAATAAAATGTAAATTGGTCCCGATAGGTCCGATGAGATTTTCAATGAAGATACTTGTTAGTGTTTGGCAAAGAAATATGATGATTCAAGAACATTTGCCATTTCAGCATTTAGGTAGCCAAAATTGATACAAAACACCTTCCAACTTAAATACAAACTGATAAGTCCCCCCCAACACATACACACCATGGTTGCATCAACACCTGCCATTCCCCTTAAAGGCTTTTGAAGCATTCGAACGTCTCTTCCTTTTGAACTAGAAAATGCCTTCAGGTTTCTCTATTGAAGTCATTAATGAAACTCAACAATTGCTTCTTACCACTTGTAGAATTTGTATGGGCATACATAAATCAAGTGTGTAGTAACCAAAGCTTGCTTCCTTTGGAACATACTCGCGATGTTGTTTCCCCTTAGCACATATGTCACATACGTTTATCGATCCTCATGATATGAGGGTGGTGCCCATATGTTTCTTTGCCATAAGGTGCAAAACTCGTTGATTTAGGTGGCCAACTCTCTTGTGCTTGGATATTGATGGTGCTCTAAAATGGTTTTGAAAGCCTTATTGCGATTCTCCTCCAACTCCTCTTTATTAATTAGCGATCTTGGTCATTTGCTCTTCTTAGATGCTCCCTTTCATGCATTCGGGACATCCAATGACATGTAGATGGCAATTTGAAACCGGTTATGGTTGATTTCAAATCTTTGTTTCAAACCCAGGGCAAGAAAATAGAACCCACGAAATAGATATAATGAAGGAAATTGGATGTGAAAGAGCACCGAGAAAACGGTGATGATGGAGTGGAGCATGATGACGAAGATGGCAACACTAGAGACGCCATTGGATCCAAGTATGAGTTCGGCTAGGGTTTCTATCAGCAATTTGTGAGCTTTCTTTTTCCTTCCAGAAATGCAATTTGTATTGCGCCTCATCGTTTCTCTATCTCTGTATATGGATCATCATGTATGTAGGTACCAATTCTTAGGTGGCAAACGGTGACGAGCAGATGATAGGGATACATTGGCGACGGGTGATTACGGATCCCATTCTCAGTGAGATCCCAATATTTCCTTGATCGAATGAAGTTCTCTATCAGTCGAGCTCAATGATCTTAATGACCATTGGATTTAGGGATAGCCGCAAAACCCTTGGTCTGTTTGCTGTTTTCTTCCATCTGACTTTATGAGCTTCTCTTGCTTGCTTTGCTCACAATCAGGCCCCTTATGAAGGAGATCTGATACCACCAATTTCGACAATTGGTTATTCACACACAATGGTATTTGATCAATCTTGAATCCAAATCTTTATTGACAGCAACTTGGTCTTTATTCAAAATCCTGTCCTAATCTTTGGTCATGTCTCATGTTCTATGTAATTACTGCATTGCTGTTTAGAGCTTTTGATATTTGTTACTCCTACATGTTTCTTGGGAAACTTTAGCAGCAGATTGAGTTGAGGAAGAAAAAAACTATTGTTTACATATTTCTGGACACAGCTCTTGCTGCTTTTGAGATGTTCTTGGGATGTTTGCGTATTTTTGGGAATCTTTTGTTTGCTTTTATCTTTTAAGATGTTTTAAAATGCAACTGATTAATTAATGAGTTATTTTTTTTTTGATCAATTGTCTAAAGTTGGCGTTTTCCGCTTCACTTTTCCTTCTCTGAAAGCCAACAATCGAAAGGGATATTTCAGAGGTTCCGTGTGAATATTCTTCCCCGTAAATCTTTATAGAACTCAGAATTATTGCCCTCACTTAGGTTTAATGGACAGGTAGGATGATCTTGTTTCCACCCCAAACTCTAGTGGAGAATGTCAATATCCACTTCACCAAGGATAAATTAGTTTTAGTTCCTGCACAAGAAAGGATCGATCTTTGGGTAGCATTGGTTAGTTGTTTAGATCCTATAGTGGACTAAACAGATATGATTTATTAGGTTCTGCATAATCGCTTTGTTTGTTTTGGTTTCTTTCATGTTCTTGCCCCTTGAATTTCCAATAGGACGCCTTTTCCGCTTGTGCTTTAACTCAGAATGGCTGTCTTTTTCTGATTACTTGTTTGTGGAAAATACATGCACCATTTCACCATGCACTAGAAAAGATTATTGCCATCTACCTTTTTTCGTTCTTTTTCTTGCATGATTGGATCTTCTTCAAGAAACTTCATATATTTATGCTCAAACGGTCGTTCTTTATAACGACCCCAGATTTCTGAAGAACATAAAGACTCCATGGGAACACTTGCTGGACATCTAGTCCCTGGCTCAGTCCTTGCTCTCCTTGGCTTATGGCACATCATCAATACAATCAAATCCTACCACCTAAAAGGCTCAACCCACTTCAGGTCAAGCTTTTGGCATCCCTTTCTCACCCCTTTCCCCAAACTGGTGTACTTAGAGCTTCTGCTTATTGTTTTTTTCTCCATATTTTCCATAGTTATGCAGGTTTTGGACTACCCTTTGTTTACCTTAGCTTTCAAGCTCAATAACTATGAGCATGCCACCATGTTTCTCCACCTAGCTATATATGCGGGTTTTACCCTTTTAAGTGAACTCACTCATAAATCAGACACCTTGTTTGAGGTTTCTGGAATTCTTGCTGCTTCTGTTTTCAGTCAAGAGCTTTTCTTGCTCCATTATCACTCGGCCGATCATGTTGGACTCGAGGGCCATTACCATTGGCTAATGCAACTTATTGTGTTGGTCTCTCTTCTAACAGCTATATTTGCGACCACTTTCCCATCCAGCTTCCCTACATCGCTTGTTCTTTCTATTTCTGTTGCCTTCCAGGGGTTTTGGTTCATTAATATGGGATTCATGTTATGGGTTCCTGAACTTGTCCCCAAAGGGTGTGTCCTACGGTTGGGTGATGGCGGCGATAGCGACATGCACGGGGCCATCGTGTGTGGGACCCATGAGGCACGGTTAAGGGCTAGAGCCATGGCTAATTTGCAATTCAGTTGGATACTGGCTGGGATTTTGATCTTTGTGGGATGTTTATGCTTATCTTTCCCAAAAAAGGTCACTCATAGGGGTCAATCGGCCGAGTATGAACGACTCCATAGTCGAATTGCTGAGGTCCCTCTATCGGTAACAGGATTCAAGCAAGTTCATCCATAGATACACAGTTTGTTTGGTAATAGCAATTACGTATATGGGCTAATGAATTTGCTTCTAAGGATGCTAAAATTGTCAAAAATCTTTGATGCTTATAATGATACCAGTCTTTATAATATATATATGAATCCTGCTGTTTATAGCTGATCAATCATGGTTGAATTTTGTTATAAGAAAGCATAAATGATGGTATTATATAAATCATACATCTTTATGATTGATTCTACATGAATTGAAGAGTGAAACAAAGATACAGTTTTGTGGGAAAAAAAGGTGCAGAAATCCGTTCAAGAATCTCTTACTCTGCTTCTTCAACAAATGCTTCGATTCGGAGAAGAATGAAGCCAACTGCAACTCCAACAAGAGTAAGTCCATTCATGATTGCAGCTATCCTGAAAATCTCAGCCACCGCATTGCAGGTGGAGGTGAGAGCTCCGCCACCGCCACGGCGGTTGTTGGATGATGGTTTCTTCAAGGAGCAAACAAAGTTTGCGAATTGCTGTTCAGTGGAAACAGGGAGTCCCAATGAAGCGAGAGTGTTGTGAGCTTTAAGACCACCAAATGAGTTGAGTCCCTTGATGTAGTTGACTTTGGTGGTGGTGATTCTGGCAGAAGATCTGGTGGGAGCAACGACGGCTGCCGCCGTGAAGGTGACCGGAGATAGAGTGGCGGAGGCTGTTGCCATTTGGAATGGAAGTGGAGGGATAACAAAAATTGGTGGGTTTGAAATGTAGAGATGATGATGATGATGATGATGAGTGGATGAAGAAAGGAAAAAAAGAAAGAGATGTGGATAAGATGGTAAGATGGATGATTGGTTGTAAAGGAGATGAGCAGATGAGAGAGCTTGTGTTCTACACAGATACTTGCTCCAACTTCTAATCATGACCAATTAAATTAGTGGGCCATACACAATATATATATATATATAAAATTCCAAAAAATGTCAGTTTAACAAAATAAAAATAAAAATAAAAATAAAAATAATAATAATAATAATAATAGTGAAATATTATCCAAAAATATCTAAAATTCGGTGAGAATATGTAAGAGTGAAATTCATCATTTTAATTACTGCAAATAAAATTATTAGATTTAAAAATGATGGATCAAAATTAGATATCTAATGAATTGGACAAGATCAAAAATTTCAATATTTAAATTGGTTGTTAAATAATAGTTTTCAATATCAATGGAACCGAAATGATCCAATTCAATTACTATCTAAGTATTCAAGAATGAATGATTTATTTGATGTGATATTTGGTGTATGATACTTGTTTTTTTTTTCTTATGATCATGAATTCATGTTGATCGTTTGATTTTTTATGATTACTTATTTATAAGTATTATTTTTAAGTAGCATTTAGAGAGGTGAGTTATTATATAACATTTTATATTTGTACAACCTAATCTCAACCGTCCATTTAATTTGATGAATATGTAATTTCATATAAATTTTGATTGTTTCCTAATATAAAATATTAATCATAATTAATGAACCTTATTCATTTTCCATAAATATTTAAATCATAATAAATGAATTCTCAATCATTTCCATAAATATTTTAATTTATTGGGTTATATTGGTTGTACAAATGTGACAGGTTGCATTTGAAACAAACTCTCTCTATATATATTTGGTTCAAATATTGCCTAGATCTAATCTTATCTAATATGTAAGCAGCAAAAGTCCTTGTATGGCTTGAAGCAAGCATCACGACAATGGTATTCTAAGCTCACAGATGTTTTACGGTCTATTGGCTTTGATCATTCTCCAAATGATCATTCTCTTTTCTACAAGAAAAATAGCGAATCTATTGTGTTTCTTGCAATCTATGTGGATGACATATTAGTGACTGGGAACGACAAAGATGAAATTGAGTCACTAAAACGTTTTTTGGACAACACTTTCAAGATAAAAGATTTAGGTATTCTACATTACTTTCTTGGCATGAAAGTTCTATATGACTCCAAGGGTGTTGTTCTTACTCAATGAAAGTTTGCTGCAAACTTGATCGACGAATTTCAGTGTTCTCAATTGTTGCCTGTGGTTAGTCCTCTCGAACATAATCTAAAATTGTCATCTACTGAAGGTGATTTGTTGTCTCATCCTGAGAAATATAGAAAGCTTGTTGGAAAGCTTAATTACTTAACTTACACTGGTCTAGACATCTCATTTTCAGTTCAGTTTTTAAGCCAATTTATGCAGAGTTCTCGTGTTCCTCATTATCAAGCTGTAATTCATACTCCCAGATATCTCAAGGGTACTGCTACTCAGGATCTATTCTTTACTAAAAATCCTTTATTTCAGCTGGGAGCATACTGTGATTCTGATTGGGTTACGTGTCTATGTACTCGAAGATCGATCAGTGGCTATTATATTATATTAGGAGGAAGCCCCATTTCCTGGAAATCCAAGAAACAAGCTACAGTTTCTTTGTCGTCCGCTGAGGCTGAGTATCGGTCAATCAGACGTGTAACTGCTGAACTTGCTTTGTTGTCTCAACTTTTACATGAATTGGAGGTTCCTGATGTAATTCTTATTCCTTTACGCTGTGATAGTCAGGCTGCTATTCATATTGCGAAAAATCCCGTTTTTCATGAACGGACGAAGCATAATGACATCGATTGTCATTTTGTTCGAGAGAAGTTGAAGGCTGGCCTTATTTCCTTGTCTTACGTCCCTACCAAACAACAATTGACTGATTTGTTCACCAAAAGTCTTCCAGGCAGACAACATCAACACGATTTTAGGCAAGTTGGGGATGTTTCAGTCTTCACATCCTCCAACTTGAGGGGGGACGTTGATACGTACACATGACTGTTTAGTTGCTTGCAACAACTTTCAGTTAGGAGTTTTTTTTTTTCTTTTTTCTGTTTATTGCTTTCTAGTAATGTTGTATAAATAGGTTCTTTTTTATGTAATTCTTTCAATTTCATTCAATACAGAAAATTACCCAAAACGTTTTTCTCTCGTTTGGTTTTCTCTCCGCACAAAATCCGAAACAGTCTCGAGACTGACTTCAGTATTAAGTCCAGACCAACTATGCCATTGAACATAAAACTTGGGAGGCCCAACATATCGAACATCCCCACACCATTCTGACTTGTCAAACCAAATAACATATAACCTAACTGAAGAACAATTTGCATTATGAGAGATTTTTTTCAAGAAAATTGATAAATCTTCTTGTAAAGAATGCCAAACCAACTTTGAATATGAGATATGGAGGAAAGAAAGAATTATAAAATACATAAAATAATTTGTGGATAAATCCAACCATTGCCGAAAATCGTAAAGGTAAGTAGACGATTTGATATTCCATAAAGTAAGTAGAAATTTCAAAGAAGAAAACCTAAAACCCAAATTATAAAAGCCCTAAACCCCAAATTTCGGGAAAAAAGTCTAACACCATTGATTCACCTTTTACCATAAATAGAAACGACATAATGAAATAGACCAACCATTAAAACAAACACAAAAAGGAAAACAGGAATCGAAGATACCATGAGATGATGAGATGCATCGACGTGAAGAAGAGAGGTGTGAGAGGAGTCGTGGATTGAAGGGCAATCATGGGAAAAAGCGAGCTCTGAATGGTTTGGCACGTGTAATTTCTTTTGCCAAACAAGTTTCTTCTCCAAGCGTTTAAAGGCAAATAAACGGAGGGAGTTTACTAATTTTACCCATCAAATCCATCCGTGCAAATGCTTAAATATAGGCACGGGAATTAGACCAACCCTAGTAGGAAACACGGTGTACTCACCCCAACAGGGCGCGGATGGGGACGGGGATCTCCAAAAGTTAAAAATCAGGGATGAGGAGAGAGCCTGGTAACATGCTCCCTATATATTAAATATATTATATATTTATTATCAAATATATTATTTATAAACAAATAGATTTAATATCTTTTAGGTTTAGAAAAAGTATTTTAATCGTTATTTTTATATACATTTTTTATTTGTCTTATTTCTTTAAGATAGAAAACACGGAGAACCGAAAACATTTGATCAAACAATTACATATGATGTTAGGATGTTGTCCATATATGAATATTTGATACTCCATAAAAGCAAATTTTTGGGAATACGTGAGATTTAAACATAGACCACTTTTGATTGAGTATATTAACACATTTGATTTAAAATGTCTCATATAAACGAGAATTAATCCCCTGTTGGGGATGTGATCATATTTCCCAGCGGGGATGTGGACGAGGACGAAGATTGGAATTGGAGACGGGGATAGGGAATGGGGTCCTCGCGCCATTTCCATGCCTACGTTTTGGTGAGAAAATATTCTTCTTAGGTTCGTGTATAACAAGATGCACATGCAGGCCCAACAGGTCTTGTGCACCCGCTAAACCAATTTCTACAAGTTGAATTTTTTGGGGATGTGAAAAAGCTGCACATGCTAAACTTTGATGGATGGTCCAGGATATTAGAAAATACAAAGAGACATTAACCAGAAAACCGAAAGAGTCCCTCATGATCAACCAAAAAACCAAAAAGTCTCTCAAAATCAACCCAAAAACTTAAAAGGAATCACTCAAAATCAACCAAAGAACTTAAAGTTCTCTCAAAAATGTGGAATTATGCTAAAAATACTTTGGACGACTTGTGGGTATTTGATCACCTTAAAGGTGCACCCGCTCAGCAAAAATCATAGTCCCACCATTAAAAGCTACCACCCGATGATGACATTATTCCGAAGTTAGGGTGTGTTTAGTACGCAAAACATAATGGGACATGACAGGACTAAATACACTTGTCCCATGGTTGGCGTGTCCTTATATGGAATAGACTGGAACTAACTTGGACAAATATAAAATATATGTGTTCTCTCCTCCCTTGGAACTAAAAGGCCTGTCTGTTTTGAAAAAAAAAGGTTGAAAAAACCGTCTTAATATACTTAAGTCTGAATCGGTCAAATGTTTTTGTTTTTAGATTGTTTGAGTTTTTTTTTTAAATAACAGTTGAAAAGCTGTGACCATCCTCTTAAATGTTAAGTGATAGCCTAAACCTTTAACGTGCTCTTATTCGGTGTACGATTTGGCCTCTCAAGCGAATAAACTCTCTCGTACCATATCGATCGCTTGATCTCAAGCTGCCGATCTCTCCAAATCAATCTTTGCAAATTGGTCTCTCCAAAAGGTATGTCGATCTTCCGAATTTAAACCCAAATCGTTCGATCGTTGCCTTTTTATATATGTTTTGATCGTCCCTACGTTTTTTTGAAGATCGTTGCCTTTAACCCAGATTGATTTCTCTGTGGTTTTTTTTGAAGATCTTTGCCAACCATCTCGTGCAGTTCTCATCTTCTTGCAAGTAAATCATCCTTTTCCCACCCCTCTTCTTTTTGATAATTTAATAACTCATTTCTATTTACAAATTAAACACAACTTTTAAGAAAACGAAATAAAAATATGTGTCAAACCTACTTAATAGAAAAAGTAATTTCATCAAAACTTACCATAAAAATATTATATTTTAGCACAAAGGATGTGATCAAAAGATGATGTGGAATATTTCATCTGTCCTCGGCCGTCAACAACAATTGTGGTTACTGAGACAGATGTCTTGTAGTTGTAATTTACCGGAATTAGTCTGAGCATAGTTTGACATACTTCCAAGAAAATATTATATTTTATCAAGGACCGCTATAAGATTTATGGGATTCTTGAAGGGGAAATTATGTAAATCAATCTGCTCGTCAACAAGCGTCAAGTGTCGTTAAGCCCTCCTTGTAAGTTACAACTTTCATCCGACAGTGCAAAAGGAAGAGGCGATGGAGAACAAGAAAGGCTCGAAGATGAACATCGCCATCATTCATCCTGATCTCGGAATCGGTATGTACACAAGATTAACATACACGTATATTGTACAACTATGTTAATTTGCTTTATTTTTGTTTGAATTTGGATCGCCTGTATCAGTTCAACATCGATTCAGTTTTTGATATCGTTCTGTGTAATTTACGTAGGCATCCTTGTATTCCTTTTTGTTTATACGTCTTCGTTTCCTGAATAGTAGACTGTTTTGCTGAGAGAATTGAATGACAGGTAGAATTTTCAACCTCGCTAGCATACAGCACTATACCTGTCTATAGATGATCTGCTTTGAAAATCACTTTAGATTTAAAAATCTTTTGGAGTATTTGGAGAATAATGACTGTCTTCAGGTGATTGTTGTAGTATAATTCTTGAAAACCTAGAGAAACTATGTCTAACTAATTTAAGGGATTTTAGTTAAAAGTCACACCCTTTGATGTTAATCTAAAGGTTTCCATTGGTGGATGCCCCTTTCTCCCTAATTAAGCATTTGATATTCAAATTACATTTATTTTGAACAATACAAAGAATGAGAACAATCTTATATTTTAGAATGCAGGAAGAGTCCTTATAAGGTTTGAACTACTATGAACAACTCTAAAGCAATTCTTGTCATTATTCGTACCAAGTGGTTGTAATGCCGCTATCAACTTGTATCTTTGCGATGTTATTGATCCCTTCATTTAATACTTGACCTTCAGTGATCATGTTAAATGCTCTTTTTGTATGCGTCCCCCTGTGTGGTCATAATGGGAAAAGGAAGAGAGTAATTCTTTTGTCCTCGTTCTTGTAATCAGTCTACAGCTACTAGAACTATTTCACACCTTCTCCTTTCATGTATTGGAACTAACCACTTATTTCTTCGACTAGTGAAAACTGATTATATGATATCTCGTAAATAGTGAGGCAGCATAACTTTGAGAAAAGCTAATTCGGCATCATATCATTTTGCAAGGCAGTGCTTTTCTCTTGCTATCTTCATATATTCTTTCAATTTAACTTTCTTCTGGACCTTCTGACTCTGTTGGCCTGATGTTTGTTGGCTATAATATCTTGCATCTCCTATTATTTAGGAGGAGCTGAAAGGCTAATAGTTGATGCCGCAGTGGAACTTGCATCTCATGGTCATAATGTTCACATTTTCACATCACACCATGATGGAAGTCGCTGTTTTGAAGAAACCCTTGCTGGTGAGGAAATTTAGTTGCTCATTTCCAAAAGGCTGTTGATAACTTTCACTCTTTCAGTTACTTCATTTATATGTAGCACGTTCGAAAGCAGTTATGTTCTTTCGAATATCCAGGTACATTTGCAGTTACTGTATATGGATCTTTCCTTCCCCGCCATATCTTTTATCGTCTTCATGCAGTATGTGCGTATCTGCGTTGCATGTTTGTTGCTCTCTGTGTTTTGTTCATGTGGCCATCTTTTGATGTTGTACTTGCCGATCAAGTCTCTATTATCATTCCAATTGTGAAGTTGAAAAAGTCCACAAAGGTTGCTAGAGTTGTATTTCAAATATCTACTTGTGTTACATTTATAAATATATATTGATTAATTGTTCTTTTAATCTAGGTTGTGTTCTATTGTCATTTCCCCGATTTGTTGCTGGCTAAACACACAACTCTTCTTAGAAGGATATACCGCATGCCCATAAACTTTTTGGAAGAATTAACAACTGGGATGGCAGATTTGATTCTTGTTAACAGCAAGTTTACAGCATCCACTTTTGCTGCAACTTTCAAGCGTCTTGATGCTCAGGGAATAAGACCAGCTGTGCTTTACCCAGCAGTAAATGTGGATCAGTTCAGCGAACCAAATGCTTATAAGTAAAGCATATGCCCTTTCTCTCTCTTCATATCCTTCTAGTTCAAGGTTCAGATTACTGAACCTATATTTGTAGCTTTCACCTCTCTGGTTTTAGGATCTTACTTCAGATTTTTATTGTTTCAGGTTGAATTTTCTTTCAATCAACCGTTTCGAAAGGAAAAAGAACATTGATCTGGCAATATCAGCATTTGCAATGCTTGGCCATCCTGATGAGAACATTCCTGAAGGGTTTAATTTCGCTGACATGACATTGACTATTGCAGGCAAGTGCCTTCAAATCTTGGAGTCAGTTCAACTGATAAGAGTTTTACTTTGTCTTTGCTTATAGAAAGTTGCATTAAATTTACTATAAGTAAAATAGTTTTACCTTGGAAACGTTCTGGCCTATCTTGTTATTATATTTGTTCATAACTTACAAGTATGTGTTGCTAACTTCGTTAAAATGAGGCCAAATTAACACCGGGAGACTATTTTCTGCTGGAATTCTTCTTTATATTGACAGGAGTCTTTGCTTCATGTTTGTGGAAAGTGCAATTCATTATTGGTTACCAATATTACGTCTATAGTCGAATTGAGAAGTCAAATTTGTCATCTAAGTTGTGGATAGTTTGCTCCCTGGGAGTAAACTTTGATCTAATATTAGCATATTGTTATAGAAGTTGAGTGGCTGAACTTTGGATTCAGTTTGTCCTAACTAACAACATAAACCAGAGAACTGGTGGTTGGTGGGTAACTTTTTTTTTACAAGACTCGCTCTTCATCTACAAAAGGCGATTACTTTGATAATAGAAGACCTACTTTTATCTGCAATACCACTTTGATTATTCAAGTAAGAGTTTCTAAAGCACCTAGAATTCAAATATCTTTGTCACTGATATTAGTTCTATAGTCAAATTGAGAATTCAAGTTTTCCATTCAAACATTATGAGTTCAAATCCAGCATTAATGTATTGTCTATGAGTTACCACAAGGACATCAACAGGCCCACAACAAGAGTTTAACTCTGCAGGTGTGGTTGTTTGGGTCTATAACAGAAGATCTTTAATCGTGTATAGAGGTGCTTTCCGCACATTCCTTCTAATTTAATCGTAATCCGAACCCTGTTGAACATGGCTAATATAGCAGATACAAAATCATGCACAGGCTGTCCTTCGAGTTCATACTCGATTACACTTATTTCATGCATGATAAGTAGTAAAGATGCATGCCAGCCTCATTACTGATCACACACATATACGATATTTGCTTTGTTTGTATTCATCATATTTTTTTCTTCAGGTGGATTTGATCAGCGCTTGAGAGAGAATGTTGATTACTTGGAGCAACTAAAAGTCTTGGCAGAAATTAAAGGTGTGTCTAACCAGATCAAATTCATCACATCTTGTCCCACTGCCGAAAGAAACGCTCTTCTCTCTGATTGCCTATGCGTTATTTATACACCAAAGGTGCCATAAAAAACCCCTACATTCAAATATATTCAATATCTGGAATCAATTACTCTCTCCTTTGCACAATGGAGATCTCAGATGCTATTTGTTTAAGCCATTTGACATTCACCATTTTCATCGTCTTATGTGGGTCCCCATTGAGAAGAATTGCGATTAGACTCGCAACATGGAGAACTCAGAATGAAGGTAAATGGTGTGAACAAATAGCATCTTAATTTTCCTAGCTCGGAACAAGAGTAGCTCCCATTTAGGCTATGTTTGGCAAACTAGCTTATAAGCTAGATGGCTAATAAGCTAGTCACGTTTGGTATAAATAAGAGGATAAGCTAGATAACAATGTAAAATGAAACAAAAGGACATGTTAAAAAAATTAATTGGAAAAATACAAGGGGTATAACTGAAAATAAAAGGAAAAAAACTTCTGGAGCTTATTGAAACGTTGCTTGAAGTAGTGTTTCAAAAAGCTAGTTTATGATAAATAAAAAGGGCTTTTCCAAGAAGCTGAAAAATTAAGCTAGCTTAAACCAAAACAAACGGAGGGGCTGTTTGGTTTTGGTTTTCCATCAAGTCCTGTATGGATTAATTTGTTTGTATAGAGTGGGAAGATTTTTGTTTGGCAGGGTTTTTTCTTAGATAGAATAGGCTTGGTTTTTAATTGGGTGGGGCAGGTTTAGCAGAAACTCGGCTTTCCGCATAAAGCTCTCCTAGAGGCCTACTGAGCAAGCCACTTTCTATATCATTAAGTCACTACCAAACAGTCATGTATCGCTAAGTAGCTGACCAAATAAGTTGTGAGGCCTATTAAGCCGCTAACAAACAGGCCCGGAATCTACTAAAGCTTTTGAACTTATTGGAGTCTTTATGAAACTATGGATTGGTGGTGATTGTAATTGGCAGGATGAACATTTTGGCATTGTTCCGCTTGAGGCAATGGCTGCCCATAAACCCGTGATAGCATGCAACAGTGGCGGACCAGTGGAGACAGTGAAAGATGGGGAGACGGGATTCTTGTGTGACCCGACCCCACAAAGCCTCTCATTTGCCATGGCCAAGTTCCTGCAGGATCCATCGTTAGCAGAAAGAATGGGCGCAAACGCACGATCACATGTTGCCACAACGTTCTCGACAAAGACCTTCGGCGACCAATTGAATCAACATATCATGGATGTAGTAGCACACAGCAAACAAGAGTAACAAACTAAAGCAGAATGAAGAAAGGTTTGATCCTCATTTGACTGCAACAAATTGTATCATAGTTTTCTTGTGTTAAATCTTCTTCTTTGGCTATTAAATCAAATCATTATGTTGCCGAGAAGCTGTTTGAGTAATGGCTTTTGCTTGCCGAAAGCACTCTTTTGGTAATACTATGGTTCTTGCGTATCATGTTCTATTATTTATGATATTGTCGTTTATTAGTTGTTATGTTGGTTTCTATGACATATAGCTAGAATGAGGTGGAAATTTGCTTAAAAATGCATTCCGAATTTAGATGCCCTTCTTTTCTTTTCTGTAGTTTTCTTGACAACTTCATTTTACCTTTATGTGACAATTTGTAGAGTTTGGCATGCTTTGAATGATACAGAAAAAGTAAGCGTCACATTGCTCACCAGCAAGGAAACATATGCACGGGGATTGTGCACAAACAATTTCTGATTTACAAGATCACATGTATCTTTGCTTAATTCATCACATAGGATATTTATAGACAAAGTCGATGGGACTTTTTCCGTTTTCATATTTGACATGTAGAAGCATATGCATCCCTTCTGCTAGAATTTCTTGTAGCATCACTAACAGTGGAAAGAAAATAAATCTGACAAATAGTGTTATGAACATATAATAACAAATTGGTTCTCATTACTGGTTATTAACGCTTTTTTTTCCCTTCATAAAAAGGTCTTTTTCATTTTGTATTGTTAAATTTCATTAATTACGTGCTCAATATTAAGTGTATGGTTTTACTTTTATTCTTGCATGAAATTACAGCACGGAGCAATGACATTCCCTTCATTAGATGTTCTTCTACGAAGCCATTGGAATGAGTAGTTGTCCAACATTTTGCTTTGAACATGCATTAAAGGTCTTTACATTGCCTGGTTCTGCCTCAAGATAAAACACAGATTGTTCTTATTGTTCACATAGAGTATTTGCATATTAGCTGGAAGAGAGACGTGAAAGAAATGGAGGATGGGGACTTTCTCTTACAAAAAATAGAGCAGTCTTGATTCATTAAGATCCGTTCGCTGAATTGGAATTTAAGTTTCTCCATAGGAGATGGAGTTTCACCTACCAAAGTTATTTTTGCTGTGACCATTGATGCCTTTTGTCTACTTCTGTAAAACTAAGGTATATTAAGGAAATGCCTTCTCTTCTGTATTTCTGTCCAGTGACTTTTAGTGCAAAATGCAACGAATTTTACCTTAATTCTTATCTAATATAACAATCAATGTAACAAAGCCGTTTGGTGATTAGGAGGAGCAGGGAATGCTGGGTTCTTCTACTGTTTTCTGTTTTTGAGGTTATAGAAGGGAATGGGATTTTGTTGGTAGAATCAGAAGTAAAAGGGATCATCTTATTGGATACAGTTCTGGTTGTTTTTCTATGCATGAAAATTGTAGATATTCTTACCTCGTGTATATTACTGTTGCTTCCTTATGATAATGGTTCTTTTCATCTTTTTGTGGATGTTTTATAAAATGTACAGGTTTGGGGTATGTTTGGCGGTGATGATATCGTAGATGATATTTCGTTGTTTCTGGATTGGATGCAGAGGATGGACCAATGCTGTTGGACCTTTCGGGTTCAATCGGTTTACTTGTGAGGTGCAGTGGTAGTGGTGGAGGCAGAGATAGGTATCACTTACATTACTGGTTTTCTAAATTTGTTCAGAACTCGTGTGGTAAAGTTTGCAATTCATGCTTTATGGTCGGTTCTCATCCTGCGTCCTATGCGTCAAAGAGCTTGCAAAATGTGCTCTATAGAGGTTCTAATCTTGGATCATGGGTGTTCAATCGTTTTAGGTTTCTTTTTGAAGTTTGACTTTTAACATTATTCACAGAGTGTTTGATTTGACTTTACCTTTGTAACTTATTCGTTTAATTACTATTTTAATTTCGCTTAGTTTGGCTAAGGTGCGGTTTACCATTTGTTTATCCGGGTAAACGCTTACCAAGTCACGTTACCTTACTGGATGAATATGACAAGTACATTGGTTGTCATGAAGAAATCATCATAATTTCTTTCTATAAATGAAATATTAAAAGTAGGATGCATGTGAAGCTCTTGAGATGGAAGTTGAGACTTTTTATATGTGATGTTCCCAAAACCCACCTGTTGAAACTCCCTCCAATTTTTGGTTTTCTTGAATCTTGTCGTAGTTTATTTGATGAATGTTAATTTTTAGCTTTGGGAAAGTATGTGATGCATCTCGACCTTTCTGGATCAGACAAGCTATTTTTAAGTTTTAAAATTTGGGATTCGAAGTTTACAATATCTACCCACTTTGGAGTTTGATACCATCACGCTGTGATCTCGAAATCGTTTTTACCAAGGAAAAGGAAAGAAAATCGCGTTCTTGAAACTGTTTTAAGAGAGAAAGGAAAGAAAAAAGAAGGAAAATAATGATAAGTTTTCTCTAAAACGTCAAAGGAAAGGAAAGGGAAAACATTAAATCTTTTAAAAAAATTATTACAATTATGAAACTACCCAATGCACATTATGTTATATTTCATAAAACAAAGAAAATACATTGTGAACATTATCACTATGATACACTTTGATTCACAAAACGTTTTCAAAATACGATGTATATTAGGTAATTGATATACTAAGAAACTAATTTTAATTAAATATTTCATTCTAAAAAAATTAATTAAAATTTTGACGGGTGTCGAGACCGGCAAATAATAAAGTCCAAACTAACGCACAATTTTACAACCAAAATTGTAAAAGTGGTAAGTCGGATAGAATCCACAGGGAGTCGGCTTTAACTCTTTAGGACTAGATAATCAAGTACAAAAATGAAACTTAAAATTAAATACGAGGAGGGGGGGTTTGTTTGTGCAAAAAAGATTTGAACATAAGAAACGTAGAATAAGCTTAAACAATCAAAATGAAAAGAAACTCAACTTCGGGTTACAAATGCAATTTTTATTCATAGGTCGTTATCATTGACAATGTAAATAAATATCGCCTCTACTTCGATTAACCCGGTTCTATTTGTTAAAAAACTCTAACAAACAATTCCAACATACATGG